ATTAAACCCATGCTCACATGAATCACTTCATGGAATTTATCACGAGTGATTGTGAGACGATAATATCATATAGTCTTCAAACCAAGATGTATGAGTTGTTGACTATGAGTTGGTTGTACATTGATAGTGCAAAAACGCATCAGTAACTTGATGTTATAAAACGTGTTATTGTGTATGATTTAACGAGTAGTTAGTACAATCATATAAGTCGAAGTTTATATGTTCCTTTTATCCTTGGAGGATTAAAAGAGATATATTGGGCCCCTCGATGATTTTGTTTTGAATTATGTGTCGGTACTGGTCAGGACTCAATTGATGTGTTCAATTAAGTCCTAAGTCAAACACATTGGAAATCGGAAAACAAATTGATGGACAATAAGTATAACTATGTTCCACGTATTTGTCCGCCCGATATCTTGAAGAACAGAGGATTATATGATCCCTTATATAAAATGGCACGTCAGAGTTCGACAACGACTTTTAAGAGCTACGATCTCTAGTCGGTTTTAAGTCGTACTTGCAATTATAGTTATTAGACTTATCGAAGTGTGGGACTATTGGATTTGGTGTCTAAGCTCATAACTATAATTGGTATGTACTTGACCCGAGAGTAGCATGGTCCATTTTGGGTTGCATCCATCAGAACAATCTGATAGGATGGATATTTGATAAAGAGGAATCATATTATTTAATTAGTATTGATCAAGAATTAATTTGGAATTAATTTAGTGATCAAAAGAGACTAATTAAATATACAGGGGTTGATTGTGTAAATCAATGATACATATAGGTTGGGCTAATAATCCATGATTGATTAGTGATGGGATAAGCTTATATAAGGATCCATAAAGTGTTAGTCCATTATAAGCCCAAGTATAAGAATTAGGGCTTACACATAACCCTTCGAATTCTACACTATATATATGTAACCCCTTGGCCTAAAATCGGATACACTAGTCTTCTTAGAGAAACTATAGCCGATTTTGAGTGCCTCCAAGCCTTCTCTCAAGTTCTCCAATTGTTAGTGGTGTTTTGTGAACCATTTGAGGCATCATACTTGAGGTGCTAAGTTCTTAAAGGCCAAATACAACAAGCTACAACAAGAGTATTCTTCTAACTAGTTTTTTATGATTCATATTCCAAATTTTGTATGCTAGTTAAGCTTCATGCTTTGGAAAACAATTTTGCATGTATAATTAGAGAAAAATTAGATCCAAAGCATTAAGGTTATGTGTGCACCATAAGGTTGTTATAGTGCTCAAAACCCATCATATTTCCCCTACCACTATCACATAATAACATAACATACTAGCACATAAAGCATAACAGATAGTAGCATACCAAACATTTATCACAAAGACAATTATCTCAACTATAATCAATACTAGTGGGTCGGAATTGGTGCCTTCGACCCACTCCTACTGGAAAGTAACTCACCTCGCAAAGCTAAGAGTCGAATCTCACGGCAAGGAATCCCCAACGACTGCTCCAACAACTCCCCGACTATCATTATCATAGCGACACTTAATCAAAATCCATAATACTCCTTAGGGTAAAATGACTATTTTACCCCTTATCTAATTTGGACCATATCCAAAGCCCAATTCTATTTTATCTTTCCAAGCCCACTAATGGCCCACTTTTTTAAATTGGGCCCAACTCCTCAAATAGGCCTTTCCCAAAGCCCAATATGTCCTTGACCCAATAACTGGCTCATCATGGCCCACTAAGGCCCAAAAGCTAAAAAGTCCCAAGTTTGGCCCAAACCGAGGCCCAAATAGATCATAACTGTCAGGACTCACCAATGGCTAGTGGCTCCTTCTAGAATTTTCACGACTAATCTTAAATTCCTTCATTAAACACTACATAACGATTGATAATGACCTTTTTTGGATTATATATTTGTATGCCTTTGAACTTACCTATTTTTGGTTTATATAGTTGACGCGAGTCTAATAATATAGAAGGTGGGTCTTTTGACCCTTTTTTTATAAGATATTATAAATAATAATAAATTATTATCCATCTTAAAATTTTGGAGTGAACCACCTTAATGGCTTTTACAACAAAATATATATATATATATATATATATATATATATATATATATATATATATATATATATATATATATATATATATCAAAATTTCAAAGCTTACATTTTGTGTTTTAATAACCTCCCAATTCATTTAAGGTATAATCCAATAATAAATAGTTTAATACAAGTTAAAAATAATTAGATAAACACAAGAAAAGGAAAAAACAAACAATAAGAAAATTTGTTCTCAACACATCATTATTCTCCCACTTCATGGTATCAACCGTGATGAGAAATTAAATATCCTCCTATTTTTTTATCTTACAAATTCTTCTATCCAATTAAATAGTTATATATGTCACATTTAATGTTATTTTAATATACTAATATGACACATGTTATAATTTAATTTGGTATGAGGATTTGTAGGAATAAAAGTAGAAGGATATTTAATTTCTCTACCGTGATACACAATTGCACAAATCGGAAGTTGTCGCCGCCTGTCAGGCACTGACCGTCCACCACAACTGATATCAAGATACAAGACTTCGTCGGGTACAATTATAAAAACTTTTAAAAAAAATTTGGTTATACAACCCGACTCAAACCCGCAATTAGTATTTTCTTTTTTTTTACAATTTTTTTTAATTTCATTCAAATAGTGAACCATATGATTTTACGTTCTAAACTCGTCACTCAGTATGCATTTGAATTTGAGCAATAGCCAAACAACACTTTTCATGCTTACGAGTAGGGCTGTAAACGAACCAAACGAACACGAACAAGGTCTTGTTCATGTTCGTTCGTTTAAGTTAGCCGAACAACAAACGAACATGAACGGATAAACGAACGAGATTTTCTTGTTCATGTTCGTTCGTTTAACAAATTACTTTGTTCATGTTCGTTCATTTATCTTCGTGAACATGCTAAATGAACATAAACGAACAAAGATTAAAAAAAAAAAAAAAAAAAAAAAAACAATTGAACATATATGAACATAAACAAACATATAATATAGCAATATAATAAAAAATAATTGAATATAGATGAATATAAATAAACATAAACGAACGAACATAAACGAACGTAAATGAACATCATAAACGAACGAAATCATTGTTCATGTTCGTTCATTTAACTAAACGAACAATAATTTTTGTTCATGTTCGTTCATTTATTAAATAAACGAACATAAACAAACTTCCTGCCGAACAGTTAACGAACGGTTCGCCGAACGTTCAGTTCGTTTACAGCCCTACTTACGAGCTTATCATCCAATTTCTTCGGTAGCTACTCTAGCACATAAGTACACAGGGATGGAAGTTGTATATGGAAACAATCTTTGCACCCTTGGATGGGTGGTCCACTATCTACATCCCACCTCTAGTCTTACCCATTCTGATGAGACTTGGACATTGTTATTCTTGTTATTGACATGTCGTAGCACTAGCCGGCTTATTTATTTTTTTATATCATGTGTAATACTTTCCGGAGTTGACCTCTTTTTTATAGCATACTTTGGACTGACATTACTCTTTCGAGTAGCTTGTAACATTTTCTTTATTTATGACAGAAATTTATTATATTTCATCACTTGACTAATTTTCCTGATAAATCTTACTCCAACCAGTTTTATCCACCTGATAAAAAAACCATCATATCATGCTTAACGAACTTGAGGACACTCCAAAATCATCTATCGAGGATATGAGTATTATTCTACTTTATGATAAAGTTTCATTCAAGCAACATACATATTTTGCTCATGTTTAAATTAACTCATACTTTGTACTCTTTTGCTACACTAGCATCTTGATAGTTTAGTCTTATATAATATACTAGTTTATAACCCGTGAGAACCACGATTATAAAATTAATTAAACTTTTATAGTAAAAATTCAAAATTATTAATAAGTTATTTTAAATAAATTATTAGTTTAAGAGATGTTTTTATTAGTTATGTGAAATTATAATCATTGATTCAAATAAATATATAAAATTAATTTTTAATATATATTAGATATTTTTTATTTGTGAATTAATGAAAACAATAATTTTAAATTTTAAATTTTAAATAGAATCACAAGAGGTCTAATAAATTTAAAATATAAAACTAATAAATTTAAAATATAAAACTAATAAATTGACAAGTGATAACACATTAACTAAAATGTCTAATATAATAATGCATATCAAAAAAAACTACTCTTTTATTAGTATAAGGATTTGACATTTCAAAAAAAATAAAAAAACATATTTTCCTCATGTGTGCTTTCTAGTAAGGTTTTCGTTTTCCATGCTTATCTCCATCTTAGCGAGATACAATCATGAAATATCTTTTTAATAGCAACCTTGTAACTTTATTGAACACTTTAATCATAGATTCATGTTACATCTGAATTGTGAACGCTTTTAGAAAAAATGCAAATTGAAGTAAGAGAAAGGCCAAAGTAAGGAATGATATGGGAATGTAAACACATAAGCTTTCTTATACGAAAAAGGGAAGAAGAAAATTTTGTGTATAAAAAAAAAGGACGAAATTGAGAATCCCTTTTATTTGAGAATGATACCCAACATGGTTTACAAAATATATTAATAGATTGCTGTGGGTGGGTTGTTCCATGCCAAAAAGCATTTGGGTAACATATGACTTGGGTAGAGCAACTTTGCAAGAAAGAATGCAAAAAATGAGAAATAGATAACTTCGTAAGTTAAAAGATATAGAATTCATTCATTGATCCAAGCAAATAACATTGTTGAAGATAAAGATTAAATCTAAAACCAACCAACCACCCACCGTAACAAAGTGAGTGGTGGTGTAAACATATGCCCAAAAACACTGTGAAACCAAAAGCTTAAAGCCAGCTAGCCTATCTACATCCATGCCACAAAAACCCAAAACCTACTTTTACTTACTTACTTCCTCTATTTCTTTCCATTGTTGTATGATTTAAAAAGCCAAAAACTACTTACTTTACTTTACTACCATATATATATATATATATATATATATATATATATATATATATATATATATATATATTGTCTGGTCTCATTTACCCAAAAACAGATGCTACTTTACTTTACTACCATTATGCCCAAAACAAAGAGCTAACAGTAGAACATGACGCTCTTGACATTCTCATGAATCACAGGGACAGGACGCACCTCAGCAACCCGGTCTCTTGTTGCACGCCCCCCAGCTCCCCCTCCATGTGAAGAACCACTGTCAGACAATTCAGCCCCCTCCATGTAATACCGGGCACGAAATGCAGCCAAATGCGCATAGTAAGCAGGAGGAACTGCATTTTTTTATTTGAAATATATCATATAATATAGTTTTAGCATATAATATTATTATACTCAAAGATAAACAACTTATTTATACCTATGGACACAGATCTTGTACACCTTTGATAAGTGTAGCACAGACAATTTGTTAGATTTTGGAGACCATCGGGAGTGAACTTATTCTCATCATACAGCACATGGTAATGTGTTGGCCTGCTTGTTCCCTGTGCAAATCAGATATGTATCTATATCAATCACATCACCTTGCTTTTAAACTGAAAGATTTATTAAGCTCAAGTAGAGTTCAGTTGGTTCACCTGAATACCAGCATGACTACACAGGTAGAAATCAACCTCCGTTGGGTGGCAAATCTTGGTGTCAACCACAGTCCCTGCCAACGTTTAACATTCATTTTTATGTTATAAAAATGAAACCATTGTTATTATGTATTTACAAATAAATACCTGGAAGAATGTTGCCACTCCTGTCAGTGCTAGCTTTATCTCCATGCTTCATAGGAAAGAAACGTGTGTGATGCCTCTTTTGCACAACAATGAATGTTACAGGTGGCATATACCCCTCCTCCAATGACATACAAGCCTGATATAAATAAACATCAAAACACATAAGTTTTTTCAAGACTGCAAGTTTGAAATCATAACCTCTCTCTACCTTTCGGATTTTATCCATTTCACTCATCAAGACTTCGTTAAACTGCCCCTCACTCACACCATCCCTGTGTGTGATAATAATACAACAATGAGAAACTTTATGCAAAGTTTTAGCAGGAAAAAGGAGAAAAAGTGACCATCTGATACCTGTAGAAAATGATCCTATGTGGTTTATGACCAGTTGATTTTTTAAAGGAAATCAAAAGCTCTCTGATTAAGCCAGTATGGATCACTCCCCTTCTTGCATCAGTCGTGGTTGAGTATAGATCCTCAATGATCTCTTGTCTGTGGGGCTGTGCGGATACTAGGGCTTTATACTTTGTCACTTGAGGCCAATCCATTGAAGCAACCACCTTTATTTATTAATTACAGACATACAAAATTAGATTTTTCTTTAAATAAACAAACAAATGAAAATAAGTTACCGCAGCAATGGAAGGGCTTGAATCCTCTCCAGGTGAAGGATGAGTTACATCAGCTCCAAAAATTATTGTTGGGCGTTCCGTGATGTAGGGAAGTCTATTAGCAAGAGCTGCAGCCAAGACTGAGTTTCTTCCACCAACCTAATTATAAATACTATTATTGTTATTACGTTAATAAAAGGAAAAAGAATAATGGTAATTGATTAGTTGATACCTTAACATTGATCTTCATTGCCACATTTTCAAAGTACTGATTGCTAAGCTTCATCACATTTTTTGGCTGGCAGCATTGGGAAATGATTCCCAACTCTGTCTCACATACCCGTTTGATTCTTGCTGAAAGAAATAAACAATAATTAATCAATGTATTTTGATATAAATTAAGATATAAAAGACTTACGATAAGTTCCTTTTGCATCTGGAAGAATCACAAACAACAGTTGAAGTGAGTTGCCAGGTGCAACCTTTTGAAGTTGGGCTGTACACTGGGTGTGAATTTCAACCAATGCTTTTTCAATGTAGTTTGGAGCAGAGTTGTACATTGGAATCAGAGGTTGGGGATTAAACACCTTCAAAGAGTGCAACAAAATATGTTGTTCATAATTACTAATTACCAAGAGTCCATGACATTTTAAAAAGTGGAAAACAAATACATACAATTCCTCTGTTCTGACACATGGTAACCAGTCCATGAATAAATCGTCCAACAGCATCTTCCCTGTGGCGTGAGAAGTTGGCAATCGCCCAGTAATTCACTGTGCCTCCATTGATCATTTTCTACACAAACAGAACAAATGTGAAAAAGTTGTAAATTACAAAGCAAATGACAAGTACAACTTTACCAGGTTCATCATGTTCCATTGACCAACTGATGGATTGATTTCTGAACCAGCCCCTGTCCCATGGTACTTGAGCTGAATAACAAAAGTGAATCCAAGTCTTTAAAAAAATATATATGAAATAAAAAAAAAAAAAGAGGTTAAAATGTGAAGTTACTTACATGTGGAGGTGGAAGGACTCGGGCATCAATCATTGTCAGCTGCTCTTTAACAGCCAGTCCAAAGGCTTGGCTCACAAGTGGGTTGGCATTGTACTTGTTACTTACCATAGTCTACAAACAACATAAAAAACAAATAGATTACATTTTTTAATCATACATTAAAAAAAATCATAAAACTTTTTAGTTTATAAAGTTCATACATTCTTGATGCTAGTTTCCCTGTCAAGTGGACGCTGGCATGTAGCCCTAAGAAAGTTTGTCACTTGCTTCTCATTAAGCTTCAGAGCATATCGCTGTCCACCAGCAATCCTACAAATCTTTAATCACAAATTGCTGTCAGCACAACTTATTTATTCATTCCAAATAAATATAATAATAAAAAACATACCTCCATTGGCAAATATGTGGGTTTTGCATCAGAACCAGCTTGGATTGCAGGAAGATGTGGATACCTAAGATGAATGTTGTACTTCTCTCTGAAGTACTGAACAACAGACATGGTTTTTCCAGTATCATCAACAGGGAAACTAACAAAAGAAGAAAAAAAAAATTGGTTAACAAAACATAAAAACTTTTTTAAGAAAAGTAATTAAATGATCATTTGAAGCTTACGTCAGTTGATTGGTTGGCTGGACTGTTAATGCTTGAACCTTGTACCTTCTCATATAATCAGCACGCCTCACTTCAACCCTCACACCTTTCAAAGCTCTCTTCACCTGTAATTATCATAAAAGACATGATTACCCCTTTTGCTAATAGAATGTAATAGTAACAAAGTTTTGCTACCTTTATACGCTCTTGATCTGAAAGGGGTCTCATTAAATCTTTCCCAAGAAACTCCCCAACAAACTCAGTGACTAGTTTTGTTTCATAGAATGCTCTAGCACTCATGTCTGGAAAATAAAACAATTCAGAATGACTGATTACTTTAAAATTTTAAGAAAAAAAATAAAGAGAAAAATACAAAGAAAGAAATGCACACCAATATTTAGAGATAAACCCATTTGTGTAGGGCGCAGACTCTGATAAAATCCTTTCCAATACTCAATCCCATCACCAAGCACACCTTTCCCAAATTCAGCACTAAATAAAGATCTACCAATGATTTGTCGGCTGCAATTACAAGAAGATATTAACAACCTCAGATAAATTTTAATATGTAGAAAATAGAGGGAAAAAATTATATAGAAATGTAAAATAGATATGTTACTCGTTTATTGATGCTGCCTCCCTTAGAACAACATCAAGAGCTTGAATGGTCTCTTGTGGGTTATCATGCTGTCTACCACTTAGAAACTGTCTTAAATGGTGCAGATCCTTTCTGGAAACAAACTTGATGTTCACTTTGAACTCTTTTTCACGCCTACAATATACATACCAGCATTAACATAGGATAATTGTTTTGAAAGAGCAAGAATTAAGACACAGATAGTAAGAAATATAAATTATACCCATTACTCTCATTGAGTTTCACCACAAATTCTTTTGATTCAAATGGAAGAGGTCCAGCAGCAAATGCACTCTTCTTCCCATCATAGGCTAATAACATGTTTCCCAGATGAGATTGCTTGTATAACTCACTGAGAAGCTTCAAAATCTCACGGCTTCTAGTCTTTGAAATAACCTCCGGAGTAATTGTCACCTAAAACATTGCAATAACAGAACACAAAGTTCATTATAACCCACATATCTCGTGTTTAAAATAACTACATTGCATTTCAAACCAGCAAACAAGAGGGAAAAAAAGAAATATACAGTAAAATGGCATATAATAAGTACCCAGATAAGACAACTGTGTTATGCACTTATGCTTACATTGCAACATCGAAAATGAGGGTACTCTGTCTGAAAAAACTAAACCCAAATATGGTAATATGTACGTATAGATTCTATAGAAAAGATACAAATACATTTACACACTGTTTATCAATTTACTAGAGTCTCAAAGAATTGAAATATTTGCTTTAAATAATAAACAAAAATGTTGCTGAATAATGTGCTAAAAAAGTGACAGTAGTCTGAAATCACTGTGATACTATACTAGTTAACCATATTCTAAAATCAGTCATAAATGGGGACCTGACTCAGACAGACATGTGAAAGCCAACAGACTAATGAACGAAATGGAAAAAACAACGAACAAACCTACGTGAAGTAGGAAGAAGACAATACAATGAAAAGAGAAAGAAAACTGAAACTCTTTTATTATTAGCCTAATTGATTAAATGAAGGATGAGATACATATAGGATGAATGTATGAAAATAGAAATCAAAATAAATGATGCAACATGGAGATTCTGGTTCACTAATGAGATCCGTACAGAAACAGAACCACAAAATATGAATGCACATACCGATGAGTTGATGAACCCATTTTCTGATCATAAATGAACAAAAATGAAGAACAATGTACATTTTTCATTTAACATGTTAAAATTAGAGTTGATTTGCTTTGAGAAAACTAATTTTCACTTAATAATTGTTGATGACATCCATAGATACGAAAATCCGGACAAAAAAACACATAATATATCTCTGTAAATGCTTATGTACGATTCTCCCTAAAAATGAAAACACAATGACGTTAGTATGTGTATACACGCATTCTAAACATGTAGTGAAAACACATACCGTATACGACTGAGGAATAATTAAAAGTAATCTGTAGAGAGAAATCTTACATCATACTGATAGGGATCCTTTTCGCCGAGATCGACGAGAAAATGATTCGCTCGGATAACACATTTCCGACCTAGAGTTCCGTACCCAGTCCTTGGCGGTGCCTTAATGATTCTCGATGAAGTAGGAGCCACCGACGAAGCCTGCGGAGGTTGTGCTGATTTCGCAATCGGTTGCTGAGCGGAAACCACTGGCGCAGGGGTAGTTTGAACCGGATTTTGTTGCATTACCGGTTGCTGCGGAACTGTACCAGCAGCAGTTGCCCTAGCGGCGGCGGGTGCGGTTGAAGGAGACGGCGCCGATGAACCTATAGAAAGGTTTCCGAACTGAGTCACAGTCGAAGAGGAAGCAACCGTCTGTGGAGGCACTCGAGGGCCGGCATTTCCTCTACCGCCGGCGTCTTGAGAATGCGATTGCGACGGTTGTCCGCCGCCACGCCCTCGCCCACGGCCACCGCCACCACGGCCCCTTCCAGACATCGGAAAACAAATTCAGAGACGGTTTTAGAGAGAGAAAGTGAAGGGACGAGATGCTGATGAGCGCGTACTGTGTGATAGGTGATTGGGAGGGGAGGAGTTGGTAGCGCGTGTTATATAATCACAACCAGACGGAGGGTAAATTGGTAAAATCGTTTACCAGAAACACGCGAACGTCAAATCTTACTGAACATGCCGCCCGTTTGATTTCTTTTCGCCGCTTTTGCCCATATCGTGTACCCGATATGTGCTCCGATACTTTTTCTTCCCAACTTTAAAACGATTATATTTTTAAAAAGTATTAATATGAGAAAATTATTCATAAAATTACTCGTAATAAGATAAGATAATTAATTCAATGATTATGATTCAATTATCTAAATCGTAAAAGTTTGTTTTAATAATGCATATTCAAACAAATCTTTTGCAAATATGATTTTATATTAAAACATTTGGGACATTATGGCATGTCTATAAATAAAAGCCGTTACATTTCGATATTAGTGATATAAATTGCTCAAAATAAATCTATCCTAATAAATAAAAATGATTTTGCCACATGTCCTTCTCTCATTCAATTTGCCACATGTCATTTTGTCATAATTTAAAAATATATTTATTTTCCACTTGTCATTTATTTTATTTTCCATTTCAAATGTATTATTAATTAGTTTCCATAAATTAAACCTACCATAATGATATTAATTTTAAATTTTAAATTTCAATTTCAAATAAATTTACAGTTTAAACCTTTGTGTTTAACATTTTGTTATAATTAACCTGTTTAGTATATAGGTCTGATAACTAAACAATAATTTTAATTTATTTATTTTTTGCATGTTTTTTTTTCTCATAATTTTTATTTATTTTAAATTTCAAATTCAAATAAACTTCTCATTTAATCGTTTATATTTAACATTTTGTTTTAATCAACCCGTATAATATACGGGTTTCACAACTAGTTTTAAATAATATATTTAAATATATGAATGTTATCTTATAATTATATTACAACCTAACGAAATATAGGAAAATATTTTATTAATTATCTAAAAAGGTAAATTTTATAAAGTTAATTACTAAAATAACTAATATTGATGAGCTCTTATGATATGATGTCATTTTTTGAATTAAATCATAATCCTTATTCTAATAAAAGAATAGTTTTAATCTCTTTTTGACATGTGTCATCATATTAGGCCTCCTAATTAATACATATTTTATTCTTTTTTTTTTTACATTTATCACCCTATTAAACCTCTTAATTAATGAATACTACTTGTCAACCTATTAATTCTCTATTTCAAATTTTAAAATTTTCACTTTAATTACAATAAATTAATAACAATGCAATAAAAATTAAAATAAAATTAATACGAATTATAAGGTAATATAATTTCACATATTTATTTAAATTAATGATTATAATTGATTAATAATTTTATGTTCTAACTATTAAAGTTTAATTAATTTTATAGCCGTGATTTCACGGGTTATAAACTAGTGGGTTCATATATATATATATATATATATATATATATATAATATATATATATATATATATTTACTCATTTACTAGCTTTTTCACTCATTTAACACATGACATAACCTTATTTTACTTTTTTACTAGCTTTTACACTCATTCAATCATGTTAATGGTGATGCGGTTATGTTTTCCACATCATTCTATATATCTTTTGACAAATGCTATAAGATTTTGATTATATATATTTTAAGCAAAAATCTACCAATTTAAAGCTAACAATAATACTAAGGAATTTTTGGCGGGTTATGGAAGCAACGTACAATTGAGGCGATGCGTTTTATATGGATTCTCTCACCCACGTCCTTATCATGGACATGCCCACATCATTCAACTGCCGCTCAGAACAAACTGTACCCAAAATCTCGCTGCCATATATTGCAGTATCTTTTTTTTTAAATATTTTGATTTTTTAAAATATAATTCATGAATATGGTCTCAATTTATTTATATAATTTATCTAATTTTTGTTCATAGACAGTTATATACCTAATTACCTATCAATTATCATGGAAGTGTAATTTGTCAATTACCTTTATTCTTTGTAAAGCACATGGAATATGGTACGAGTACAAAAGCAAATGCCCGGAAATTTCGAGGTTTCCAAAAACTTCTTGGGTAAGTTAAGCGTCACAATGGGTATTTCCGTCATTTTAAATGTGGGGACCTACATCATGTTCAATTTATGTTGATTATTGCATGACGCATAAAATGTTTCATTTACTTTCGATTAAAACATTAAATATGATATTTAATGTGACTGTCATGGTATTTAGTTGGCGATTTTAATTAACAAATAATATTTTTTTTCAAAGAGTTAAGTCTTAATAATGACATCCGGTTTTTATATAAATTTTAATTTGACAATAGAAGTTTAAAAAAAAATAGCAAAAGGTAAGCATAATAAAAGTTAGAGTACACTAGGGGTGTGTGCGGTGCGGTTTGGTGCGGTTTCGAGTCAAAACCGCAAACCGCACCGCATATGCGGTTTGAATATTTTAGAAACCGCAAACCGCACCACAGATGTTCAAAACCGCATGATGCGGTGCGGTTTGATGCGGGCGGTTTATGCGGTTTAGTTGCGGTTTGATGTGTTGTTTAACATTAAATCTATCAAAAAACTAAAAACCTGACCGGGTTAAAAAATGATTGCTTTCATTTTATAAAAACAAATACAATTTTCGAGTTAAATCGTTTTTAATAAATTGTGACCCATGTTACTATAGTTTTGTAAGTATCATTGTTATTGTTTTATATTACCGTTATAATTTATATATTCTTGTAAACCATGAGATCTTGATCTAATAGTGATTTAATGTTACGTTATAGATATTTGGTTATTGTAAGAAATATATTTATATACATCATTTCTAAATCGTGATTTGAAGTTATAACAAAATAAAGAAAAAAAAGTATATATAACATGCGGTGCGGTGCGGTTTGAACCGCAGTTTTATAAATACAAACCGCAAACCACACCGCATAGTGCGGTTTGATAAAATGATGAACCGCAAACCGCACCGCGAAATTCTAAACCGCATTATGCGGTGCGGTTTGGTGCGGTGTGGGCGGTTTGTGCGGTTTGTGCGGTTTTTTGCACAGCCCTACTATATAGATTGTTTGGTGGTTCCAAAACTACATATCATCGACTCCCTTACTAGAAATTTTAATGTTTTGCTTACCAATAATATATTTGTAATTATTATCATTCAATGGTCATTTAAATTAACCTCATTATCGATTTATCTTAGTAAAATAAGTTTTTTTTTTCCTTGCATATACAAATATCACATTACGTTGGTTCAGATTGAATCCGTTTATTAAACAGGTTAAAAATCTCAATTTGAAATTCTAAAGAGTTCTATTAAAATACAAGTAAAACTAGACGAATCTATGTGCCCGAGAATACATATTCATATAGATAACTAATAACAAACATATTTTGTTAAAAGTATTTAAAGCGATATCATTAACTATGAAATAAATAGCGACAATTAATATTGTAAAAACTAAGTTTTGTTTTTAAATCATATTACTTTAATTCCTATAAGATGACACAAGTTTAACACATATATACATAAATTTAAATAATTTGAATGATATTTATCATAATAAATTTAATATTTTAATAATCCATTAAAATATTGAAGTCATATTATATATATATATATATATATATATATATATATATATATATATATATATATATATATATATATTATAAAAGAGAACCCATTTGTGAACAGTATTTTGTTCTGTTCGTGGGTTTTTTTTTGTTTGTTGTGTTTTATTTTGGTCAGAGTCATTATAAAGAATAATCGATGTTACATAATTATGGGACCACTTCATATATATGTAATGTTATCATGAAATCAATTTATTATGGTAAGAATATAAATTATTGATGAACCGATTTATAGAATATTTACTTACCATGTGGGTTGAGTTCCCGGTTTGACTCAAGATCCTCAAGATCTCTTCCATCTCTCACATTAGGGTTTATATCTATCTATAAATATATGTGACGACGAGCAAATCAAAACATACGAAAATACACTAAGAAATTTGTATGGTTCATTGCTGAGGGATTTTAGAGAGAGTTATTGAGATCAACTGTAAAGCTCTTCCTAGTCTCTAGTGTTGGATTAATGTCTAAGTTCATAACTATTTTTGGTATGTACTTGATCCAATGGTGTATGGTCCTTTTGGGTTGCCTTCACCAAAGCAACTTGATATGATGAATTATGGAGAGAGAGGATTAATTATGATTTATTAATATATTATGAGAATAATATATTAAAGGAGAAATCATATTGGTTAATTAATATTAGTCAATAATTAATTAAGAATTAATTTTGTGGCTAAAAGACATTAATTAAACTTAAGGGACTAGAATTATCAATTGTATGATAGTTCAATATTGGGCTAATGGACTCCATATTAGAAGGGTGGACGAATTCTATGGGAAAACCCATTAGAAATCGTCCTAGGACTCTAAGGAGGGAGTCAATGGGTTGCTTAGGGCTTAAGCAGTCAAATTAGGGTTTCTTTGTTAGATAACCCTAATATCCCCACTATTTAAGGATCCCTAGAGCACCAAAAACGTGGCCAAGAGTTTCCTTAGGGTTTCCACACGTTTTTGGGTGCCTCCTCTCTTATCATTCTTCATCATTTTGCTCTTGGTGTTTGTGAGCTATTAGAGGATTGACACTTGTGACTCTAAGCTTTCTAAAGCCATTACAAGGAGGATTTGAGTTGTTATTACTATATAACAACAAAAGGTATGTATTCTAATCTTCTTGGTGAATTTCGAAAATAATATGACTCATTAGGGTTTTATTATGTGTTCATAATATTGTGTAACTAATAGTAAAACATATACCCAATTCTAGGGTTGCATGCACACATAGGATTGTTTGTATAAAACTCATCAGTGGTATCAAAGCCAATAGTTTTTGTTTTCAATTAGCTTTTTTTTTCAAATGTATGAACTTGACATATTATGGTTTATGGCTAATAAACCCTGAAGGCTAGGTAATTTTCTCAATTATGGTTGCAAAACCCTAGTTGGCGATTTTTTGCTAGGGTTTCCCAAACCCTTTCCTTAGCCTCCAAAATTTTGAAATATAGGGTTATCCAACCCTTGGATTTCGAAATTACCTCCTTCCCCAAGGTTAGATCCTAAATTTTAGGGATTTGAATTATCCCATATCTTGTAATTATCCTTTAA